TGGTGATGACTAGCTGCCTTCCCTCTAGTCTTACACTGCTAAATTAGGGACGGCTAGCGCAGAGCATGTTTGGTATGACGGAGCGGTTCTTAATGCTGTGATAACCCTAGAATCAATGAAGTATCTGAACTCAATGAAATATTAAAGCTCTTACATTTCTCCGTGTGACACTTAGTGCTAAATTAACTTTCAGGTGTTAACACTTACCGCTAATCTCTACACCATAGGACAGCTTTAATAAAACAAGTTTTCTGAACACTGAACTAAGTTATTGAATTCTAGTGTTCTTACCACAAATTTATAGGAGAACACAGTTATTTCTATAACATTAACATTCAAGCAAATTGTCATGAAATAATTTTATATATGATGACGATTATAATCAAACCGACAACAGAAAATTTATAAACTAATGGATTATTGTTCACATCAGAAGCAAAGTAATGTCTTTTCACACTGATAGAAAAAGTAGCTTACGTAATTATAGTGTTTGTACATATTACTTCATAAAATTACCACTCATTTTAACCGTTGTTTGTTGAAATAATACACATTCGCCTGTTAAAACATGTTCAGACTACACTCACCACCGGTAGTTCAATGGGAAGTCTAAGGGCTTATAGTAATAAAATTCGGGTTTTGATAACCGCGATCGGCATAACACATATAGCCTTTGTGTTGCTTTGTGCTTAAACAACAAACAAACAAATATGTATAAATATCTAAAAGCGTTCAACATTTAGATTTAAATTTTATAGTATTTAAAATATTGAGAAAAGTTGATAATTGTCAAAGAAATGGGTTATATAAAGTGAACCTGCCAGTAATTGATAATTGTCAAAGAAATGGGTTAGATAAAGTGAAGCTGTCAGTAATTGATAATTGTCAAAGAAATGGGTTAGATAAAGTGAACCTGCCAGTAATTGATAATTGTCAAAGAAATGGGTTATATAAAGTGAAGCTGTCAGTAATTGATAATTGTCAAAGAAATGGGTTAGATAAAGTGAACCTGTCAGTAATTGATAATTGATCAAAGAAATGGGTTAGATAAAGTGAGCTTGTCAGTAATTGAAAATTGACAAATGAATGGGCTATATAAAGTGAACCTGCCAGTAATTAATAATTATCAAAGAAATGGGCTTTATAAAGTGTCAGTAATGGATAATTGCAGTAATGGGCTATATAATGTAAGCCTCTCAGTTATTGAAAATTGTCAAATAAATGGGCCATATAAAGTGAACCTGTCAGTAATTGATAATTGCAGTAGAAATACATCGTCTGGTGACATATAAGTTACTAAAAGCTATTTTAAGTCTATGAGAACTTAATAAAATATATATATCAGGAAAATGACATTTATAACTATTGCTACATTATATTACAGACTAATACTTAAGTGTAGGCATATTGTATTACAGTTGAATCACTTATTCGAACAAGTATTACAAATTTCCAGCAAAAGTATGTAAAACACCACTTTTGTTAGTTGATACCAAGTTCTGATGACAGTGTGTTTTATAACTATGGAGTGAGGTGTTTTTAGGAGCAGAATATATTCTATACAGCTCTAGATCTCACATGATAATCAAGGGATAAATGCTGCTTTTAAAATCAGATCTAGAAAACGTGATAAAGAAATATATTATTGACTAAGATGTTTCTTCACAGGCCAGTAATGTTGTTCTTATGTTATTTAAAAATATTATAGCAGGATTTTTTCAGGGTCGCTTTCGGCCATATTCGCTCATAATTAATGACAAAATATCCCTAATGTTTCAGTTTTGAGGTTTTAAAACTGTAAGAGATTACTTCTCTTATAGCATGATAAAGAAAAGATTGCCAATGAAGTATTACAGCTAGATAAAGTCATTTCTCTGTGTTTTGTTGATACTGCAGAGCACAATCAAAAGAGTAGAATCATAAGTAGAGTGGCTGTTTAATAAAAATACAGATTGTTTTCAAATTAAACCTTTTTTCTAGCATTTTAGCAACTAAAGTTACTATAGACATTAATTCTTCAAATTAATACCAATTTATACAATTCAAATGAGCAATTCATGATGTCAAATGCTAAACTTATGCAAATTACTAAATGCGCTAGTGATATTGTTATGTAGAAACTTCGTTTCCAAGATATCTACCAAGTATTAGGCTAAACATCACTGGTTTTATAAGTCTGCTTTTCTATACGTATGATTGGAGAATTCTGAAGATTATATTTTAACATCAAATAATTAACACCAATTAACACCAAAGCACTAAAACGAAATAAATGAGATTGTACTGAAGAAAAATGAAAGCTCTGCCACTTTCCTAATTCTTCAAGATTAATGTCAAAGATATTCCAAAGATGACTTCAGCATCTTTTGTCATATCTTATAAAAACAGCTTTATGAGGTAAGTTTTCAAAGATAAAAGTCCTATTCTGTTCCTGGGAGAAAATAGGGTTGAGCGAAACATGAAAACATGTATAGCCATCCCTAAAATCTTATATGAAAATAAAAATGTTAGATATTCTTAATGTCAAACACTTACTATTAGAAAACATGCTCCAAGAAGAAGGGCTTTGATATTGACCTCTAAATCCATTGGAAATGTAATCCCAAAATGATCTGCATCTGTAAACACTTCTTTGATAAATCCTGTCCATTGTTTAGTGATTTTTCCAACCTGTGTTTCTCCATCACGAGATAATACCTTAGGCAAGAAATTGAATAATTATTAGCATCGAATATCTTATATATTTATAATGTAAATAATTTTCAATAACCTACCGGAGAAAAATGTTTCTATGATATGATACATTTTGTTTATCTTCATTAGATAAATACTATACAGTTTTTTACTTTACCTTCCTGTGTTATCTAAACTCTTAAAACATAGATTCATATTTTTAAGATGATAATTTTAACCGATTTACAGAAAAAGAGGCTCAGCTGTTTGAAGTGATTAACATTTAAAGTTCAAACCTTGAACTCCACATCACCACAGATACTCCATGTACAAAATGGTCCTTCAATTCGTAAAACACACTCCCCAGCAGCATTCTGAACTTCGTACTTGGGGACAAAGATGCTCCATTCCTGTACAACATAACCTAGAGTACTACCTGAGGCTGTAACTTCCAATCGCTGAAATAAAGAATACATCAAAGAAGGAATACATCCTTGAATTTTTCTAACTGGATATAGATAACAGAGCAAGATAACATTATAAATGTACTCTTAATTTCTCTACTATTAAAATGAGAACAATATCTGTAAGAGTTTAAATTGTTTCTCAACTTCAAGCTGTTGCATATGTTTTTTGTTTTTTTGAAAGTGTATTTTTGGTTAATTTTCTCGGTGTTTTTTTTCTATTCTAATACCTCTTACACTTAAAAAAATATGGTAAAACACTGTGCTAGCTTATGGTACAAAAGTCTAATAATACATTTTGATATAAATTGTGTAATTAAGTTATGTATTTAAGGAACTAAAACTCGTAATACGCAAAAACTAAAACACTGTTGAAACTAAGCAAAAATAATTGTAAGTGTTTAAATTGTGTCTTTTTCTGCTTCTTATTTTTCATTTGTTGTGTATGTTTTTGTTTGAAATTACGATTTTGGTTAATTTTCTCAATTTCTCATATTCTAATATGTATTTCTTGTACAGAATTATAGTGAAACGCTGTACTTGGGCTTTTCTTATTGTATATTGTGATATAAATGGCGTAACTAAATCAACTATTTAAGGAACTAACACACATGATATAAAAACACAATAAAATGCCAAAAGTGTACAACTAATGCTTTTAAGTTAAAATTACTTTTTACTTACAATCGTATTAAAATACTTCACAAAAGACTAAAGCAGTAATATAGCCCACATTACTGTTTGTCATTCCACCCAAGAAATATATATATATATATAAGTTGAAAAAGACAAACTGTATTGTAGCCAACATAACTGCCTCATTTGTTTTTTATTAGCAAGGACAATAACTGGTATTCTCTTTGATATATGAAATAGGTCATAGTAATCTATTTTGCCCAAAACCTGGGTATAGTGAATCACTTGGTGGAGCAGGGCGAACCAACAACTTATGTTAACCATATCTTATCATTATTGAAACTTTTATCACAGGATTACAGAAATCTACAATTACAGCTTACTCTAACTTCACTCTAATTCATTACATTACAACAACAAAAATCAAACAACTTACATAGTCACAGTGCTTTCATGATACTAGATTCCCCTCATCAAAATGAGCCACCTTGCCCCAAGCATGGCCACGTGATACAAATTTATATCTTTGAGCACACATTATATCAAAGACAACACACATGGTAATTAATTGTCTAATATATTACACAACTATGATTTAAAAATCTTGACGTTAGTTTTGTATTTTACATGTTTATGAGATATGGAAAAATATAAAGTATGCATAATGCATTTGATAATAGAAAAACATTTTCCTTGCTTTTTCAGACTAGCTGCAATCTATTGTTTTTTAACAAAATAGCTGAAGAGCTTACTCATTGATATAAATGAATGACATTATTACAGAATTCTCCCTAATTAAGACACCACATATAGCTAGTGTTTCTCACTGTTACTGACCTTCACGATCTCTTTCTCTCTTAACCAAAGCGCTGCACAACGTACCAATATTATTTTTATGTTGTTTAAAAAATATTGTAATTTTCATTGAATAAGTAAAATTTATGCAGTTTAGTTTTGAATTTACTTACTGATTATATTGATTTTTATTACGGGTTACAACTTTTACAGTAAGGAAGAATACTTTTTAAAACAGATACAACGTTTTGACACTAGTGTGATCATTTTGTATACTTTATGGCCCCCAGAAGAAAATTGCTAGATTAAAATCTTGTAGGAATGAAAGATTTAGTTGGTTAAAGCTATCCATGTGACACATTGAAGCCAAATTTCATGTTTCGCCTGTATGGATACTTTGAAGACAGTACATGAAACTAATTCTTTTGATAATAAATGTGGTTGAGGTAGACAACCCAGGCTTTTCAAAATTATTGTCTAAGAAACTTACAATACACTTTTTACATTATACACATTAGCGTTTTACAGGTCTTGCTAATGATCTAGGTGTAAATACAAGTGTGCTTCCAGTATAACGCTATGCTTCTCAATATTAAACCTCATATTCCGTACTCTGTCTGTCCTAGTCGTTAAGCTTATCAAGGCCCATTTAAACAAGAAAAACCTTTTCATAAGAGACGGTCCTTCCTAAAATCTTGTTAAGTTTAATATCAGAAGTAAATGTGGCAACATAACTGTGAACAAAAATGAAGATGTCATAAAGGATGTCAAAATTGTTGATATAAATTTAAAGCACCAAAAAATCCTAAAATGAACTCCTGAGAGATTCCATTAATCATCTTCTCCAACTTTTGAAAATTCCCCTTTATCTCTACTGCTTGCTTTTTGCTACTAAATAAGTCAATTGTCTTCCATCGTTCTATTTTTTCAACTAATTTTAAAATCATCCAACTTATTCTTGTATAGCTTTCTGACAGTCTAGATACACAACTTCAACTGGGATGCTTTATTTCTAAACAATTTCAGGAAAATTCTGTTGAGAATTATAAGATAAATCAACTTTGTAACAGATTTGATATACTGATAACACTCCACAGTCTCCATTTACTATTTGTATATAAAAGTAGGGATTGAACTGTCAAATTTACAATTATAAAAAATGTTCCCCTGTAAGTAGGTTTGTGAAAAAATAGAAGTTAAATACTTAACTACTCCGACAAATTCTTTATAAATCTATTTCGATTTGGTAAGAGTTACGTTTTATTATTTAAGTTAACTTAAAATATTTTCTGTCACATATGACTATCAAACAAACGTTAATCTTATTTTTCCAAATGTCCATGTTTGAATTACTCTAGAGTCTATTTTGTTTGCTTTTTGCTCCAGTAGGCAATCAACAATCATTACTTTAAGTCTATATTATGGTTATTTGCTTTTAAAATATTGGTTATTACAAATAATACTCATGTCTATCGTAATATTGTAATTATAGTTGTTGTCTATAGTTGTATATGTATCGGTACGTAAGCCAGTAATAATTTGTATCAGTTACATGTAAACATCCTACATATTTCATTAGAACTGTAGTATATCCAGGTAAAATTGAATTATCTTTAGAGATATTGAACAGGTCCACTGACAAGTAAGAGATTCGTTTAAAATATCGATTATGCAGACTGCTGAAATAAAAAGACTGGGCACAAAGTGAAATGCAACATGGACAATATTTATTAAAACAGACTTAACAAAAACATGGTGTGTGTGCACTTGTTTTGTTAACACAGTATAAACGTACCAGATTGTCTAAATCCAGCATTGCACAGCATATAACCAGAGCAACTGTTCATTCTCATTCAAACATAGATGTAGCCATAACCTCTACATATGACCTCAACTACCAGTGAAGGACACTGCTGTCCATGCATTGCAGTATTGTAACAATATCTCTCATTGGCAGAACAGGAAATAATTACTCGGGAGTAACAAAGGAACAAAAACAGCTAAAAAAATTCAAGTTATGGACTTTATCGACAACATGTTATGTGAAACCGTCATGTATACAGAGTAAATAATGAAACAAAATAAATAATCAATTCAGAATAAATACTATAATAACACAAAAAAGCTAGAAACACATGCTATGTATACCACAGAGTGTTAAGCTAGTTGTTTATTTCAAAACTAATTTACGGCAGCAAGTCATGTGAAACTTTATAGAATGATTATGTATATTGACAGCCAAACTGTATCTACACAGTAACATTTCTAATATGTGTACAAAGCTGTTACATGTTTCTGTTGTGGATAATCCATTATTCAGGCATATTAGTGTTTAGGGAACTGCCCTATTTC